GGTCGTGTCATCACGTCCCACGAAACCCAAGCTGGTTTCCTTTCTCCTTGTTTATAGCCCCACCAAAACTTCCTTATGATTGACTTGATATGATCGCATAAACCCCTCGGAAGTTTAAAACAAGACATTGAGTATACAGGAATCGCTTGGGCTACAGATTTGATGAGAACCTCCTTACCCCCTGCTGACAGACATTTATTCATCCATCCCTTAAATTTGTCCCATACTCGGTCACTCAAATATTTGAATGTTCCATTTTTCGAAAGACCCACGTCAGTGGGCATCCCCAAATACCTGACGCTCAAAGACTCGTTAGGGACTTGAAGGAAACCCTTGACTGCAGTACGTACTATATCCGAGGTCCCCCTGCTAAAGAAAATTGATGATTTGTCTCTGTTAATCCTCTGTCCAGATGCCATACAATATGAATCCAGTAGGTTTGATAAGCCCTCTGCTCCATCAATACTTGCCCTGAAAAACAGCAGGCTATCATCCGTGAATAAAAGATGGTTCACCGGCGGAGCCGATGGTGCCACCTTAATGCCACCGAGCTGGGATGATTGACTTTGAGATTTTAAGAGGCATGAAAAAAGGCCCACTGCTGCCAACAAGAACAGATATGGAGAGATGGGATCTCCCTGTCGAATACCATGTGTAGGAATAAACTCCTCCGACTTATTTCCATTAAACATAACCGAAAAAGAAACAGAACTCACCATGTTCATGATAACTGAAATCCACGGTGAAGCAAAGCCAAGTTTCTCCATAATAGATTTGAGATAAGTCCATTCAACTCTGTCATAGGCCTTCATCATGTCTAGTTTGAGTGCACAGAAACTGTTATTTTTTGACCTGTTCCTTTTCATAAAATGCAGACACTCGTACGCCGATATAATGTTATCTGTAATGAGTCGTCCTGGAACAAAGGCCGACTGCTCCTCCGAGATGATCTCTGGTAGAATTACTTTGAGACGATTGGCTAGCACCTTCGAAGCAATCTTATAGAAAACATTGCAAAGACTAATGGGGCGAAACTGAGACAACAAAGTTGGATTTGATACCTTGGGTATAAGAACCAGCAGAGTATCATTAAGACATGCCTGGCTGTCCTCTCCCCGTACAATACCAAGTACTGCTCGTGTTACTGCTTCCCCACACACGTCCCAATGTCTCTGGAAAAAGTGAGCCGGAAAACCGTCCGGTCCCGGTGCCTTAGACGGGCACATCTGGAACAAGGCCACTTTAACTTCCTTGTCATCATATGGCGCCGTCAGAACGGCGTTCATCTCAGGCGTCACCTTCCTAGGAACATGTTGAAGTAACTCATCGATGCCCTGCACTCCCTCGGAGGTATATAGATTCTTATAATAATCAAGGGCAAGTTGCTGCATTTCTGTCATATCCTCCGTTAGCTGGCCATCGGTGCGTTGTAGCGCTTTGATCAAATTCTTCCTCCGCCTCATTGATGCCCGCATATGATAAAAGTGAGTATTGCCGTCTCCAGCCGAGAGCCACTCCACCCGTGAGCGCTGCCTCCACATGAGCTCCTCCCGCAAATACAACTCGATAAGCCTATCATTTATCTTTGTTTCGGCATGAGTTGGTCCAGCTCTCGGCACCTCACTATGCAGCCTTTCCAGCTCCTTCTTCAGCCTTCGTATTTCACCACGTACACTGCCAAACATGGTCTTAGACCAATCCCCCAAATTGTTTGCTAAGGCATCTAGCTTGGCTCGAACTTCAACCATAGTAAGATTATGACCCTCGGACTCCCATGCAGATCGGACGGTAGGCTTGAGCTCCTCATGGTTGTCCCACATTACTTCATACTGAAAACGCTTCTGTATCTTCTTTGCAACCTGCGGTGCTAGCTGAACTAGGATTGGGGAGTGGTCCGACGTTGCAGCCGAGAGATGCTCCACCACGACACTTGGGAACTGAGTACACCAGTTAGCTGTCGCAAGAGCTCTGTCCAGCCGTACCCGAGTGTACGAACCCCCTACTACTTTCTTCTCAAACGTCCACCTTCTGCCTGTGAACCCAAGATCTAGCAGCCCATAGACATCCACCGCATCTCTGAACCTCTGTATCTGAGACTGACTCCTTGTGCCAATCCCGTCATGCTCATCTTGCTGTAGTACCTCGTTGAAATCCCCCAAACACATCCAGGGTATATCATGGAGTGATGCCAAATTCATCATTGTGTCCCAGGTGTGTTGGCGAAGATGTGTCTGAGCCTCTCCATAGAAACAAGAAAGTCTCCATGGGTCGCCTCCAAGCATACCAACTTTGGCATCTATATGATACTTAGAGTAACCTAAAATTTCGATTTTTATTTCATCATTCCAAAACATGGCCAGACCTCACTCCTACCGGAAGGATCAACAGCAAAAGAATTGTCATAACCTAGAGTACATTTTATTTTCTCTGCTCTCTTCCTACTAATTTGGGTTTCAACAATACATAGTACTCTAGGGGCAAACTTTGTCGCGATCTCGCGTAGCTCTTGAACTGTCGGGGCGTTGCCAATCCCTCGACAGTTCCAGCTTAGTAGATTCATTGCGCCCGGCGGTCCTCCCCTGAGGAGGCCGCCACACGGGCATTGTTGTTGTTTTTGCCACCAGGGGCCTTCTTTGCTCCACCTCCATTGCTCTTGTCCACCTGCATCTGCGTTTTTGTCCTCTTAGGATCTTGTTTCGGCGGTGGACTTGGCGGGACAGTTGCTGCACCTCCATCACCCTTGACCACCGGAATAATCTCCATCCCGGTCACGACCTTTGGGCTCTCTGAAACTACTGCATCGGACGAGCGTTTGCGGCTCAGATCTCCCACATCTGCACTAATGTCCTCGGACTCAACCCCATGTGCATGCTCATATCCGGCTGCATGATTGTCCCCCTTCATTGGCTGGCGTTGCTGCTTATAGTTCCTCCTCCTTGTAGCCCAGCTAGTGGTGGCGGCGCTCGAAGGTTTTTGTAAACCAGGGCTGACGGAGGGTGCAACCCATCACCGTGTTCCTTAAACTGATGTCCCATCATTCCGCATACCTGACACCAATCCGGTAGCCTCTCGTAGCGGACTGCAAAGATTTCTCGCTCCCCTCCCCTAACAATGGAGGTTGCTTTCTTCAAAGGATTGCGTACATCCAATCTGATTCTGACCCTGAAGAAGTTTCCCTCGAAATCAAAAGAAGAGGGCTCGGAGTCAACAAACTCGCCAAGTTTTGAGGCCAGAGCCTTCACCTTGCCATGATATGTCGGAGGTAGATCGATGATGCGAGCCCATATTTCAAACTTTAATAGCTCAATGGTAGACGGCTTTGAGAAACCATCGTACGGGGCTATAATCACCGGGTTGCCCTTGAAGTGCCACGGCCCCCCTTGCGTCACCTTCTCCCAATCACCAAGGCAGTCAAATTGCATGATGAACAAGTCGTCTTCTAGGGTTTTGATCTTAACCGGCCTGGCCAGATCCCACGCTGCTCGCATAGTGCGGAAAAACCAGTAGTTGCTGAAGTCCTTGTCCATATGAACCCGGGCCAAGATCATCCAACGGAGGTCCTCCACTGCCGGCTCGTCTTCCTCGTCGAAGATCACGTCATCCAGATCGCCCTCTTCCAGGGCTAGTTCCTTCATCAGGTCCTCCAGCTTCCCCTTGCCCTTGCTATCCCCAGCAGCGGGTTTGTCCTTCGATGCCATGGCTCTCGCAACCAGATTGCAGACCGTAGCCGCCCCTTGCCCAAACAAGAACCGGAGCGCTCCAAGAAAACCCTAACTCTGTCGGCCTCCTAAATCCTACCCAAGGCCGGGCAGCAACCTTAGTTGCCCCTTAATCAGCCCGAGGAGGAAATCGAAGTATAATGGCGGAGGAGGTATAAACGATCTCTACGTCACCGCCGGCGACGAGAGGAAACTAACCCTAGCGAGAGGGGGGGAGCCCCTAGCTGACGCTCGCGTGCGTCAAGAAGAGGAGCATTCGCGCAGGGCGCGATTGGATGGGCCGGCCCGTTTCTTGGCGTTACGGCGAGCCAGTGCCAAAAATCCCAAAAGACAATGTTGTACGTAGGAATCAAACTCCCAACCCAACGATAAGAGAGTTAGCGCTCCTTACCACTCGAGCTGCTGCGTCATTGCAATCAAAACGATGTGCGACTACTTAAGAACTATATGTACTGACTGATCCAAAAATAAAAAATTGACCACTGAACATTTTTTTATATACGTTGAACATTTTCGTAATATACAATGAACATTTCTCAAATAGCCATTGAACCTTTTTTGTGATATATGTTGAACAATTTGAAAATACATATTTAACATTTTTGTGATATATGCTAAACAATTTGAAAATACATATTTAACATTTTTGTGATATAACCTGAACAATTTAAAAATACACATTGAACATTTATCTTCAGAGGGCAATTCCATATGATGAACATTTTTGAAAAGATGAATATACCCGCTGAACTATTTTCGGATACGCACTGAACATTTGTGTAATATACAGTGAACAAAAGTAAGAAACATAGTGAACATTTGTATATTCGTTGAAAAAACAAAACTAAAAGAGAAAAAACAAAACCAAAAGAGGAAAACAAGACAAAAACCAAAAACCAGAAGAGAAACGGGAGAAAACCAAATCAGAAGAAACGTAAACAAAACTAGAAGAAGAAAACCGGATCAAAACCAGAAGAAAAAAACAATTGAGAAAAACCAAACGTGAAAGAAAAAAAACTAACGAAAGAAACATCAGCGAAGGAAAAAGAAGCACGCGAACCCCGTAGTGGGCCGGCCCAACATGCACGCGAACGAAACAGCTGCGAGCGTTTCCTCGACAGCTTGCCGCCTCGTCAAATAGGAATTGCCCGAGAGGGGATAGGCTTGACAAGCCACTTTGTTTGTATCGATGCGCAACCCACGAGTTGAGGGTGACACACAGCGGGAGCAAAATCAGCAGCTCCCACGAGCCCAAGCCCATTACTAACTCCAGCCCATGTCATGGCTTGGCCCGCTGGCTTCTCTGTGGCCAAGGTCCGTTCCGATCTGGCTGAGCCGAAACCATTCCCCACCCGCACCCAAACCCAACCAACGGCCACCATGGCAGCACCGCCGCCGCCGCCGCCGGCGCTCCCGGACGACGTCGTCGTCGAAGAGATCCTCCTCCGCCTCCCGCCCGACGACCCAGGTTGTCTCTTCCGCGCCTCCCTCGTCTGCAAGGCCTGGAGGAACGCCGTCTCCCATCCCCGCTTCCGCCGCCGCTACATCGGGCTCCACCGCCACCGGGCACCCCCCGTGCTCGGCTTCCTCCACGACTGGGAAGACGGGGGCATCCCAGACTTCTTCCCCACCACCGCCTCGCCCTTCTCCCTCGCCGCTCCAGACCGCCGGTTCTGGCGCCCCGTCGACTGCCGCCATGGCCGCGCCCTCTTCCTCTCCGACCGCCGCCAGGAAACTCAGGAACTCCTCTTGTGGGAGCCAATCACGGGCGCCCGTCGGGGCATACCGGTGCCCGCGGCGTTCAGGTGCCAGTGGCCGGCCGCGGCAGTGTTCTGCACAGCGGACTGGTGCGACCACCGCGACTGTGCAGGAGGTCCCTTCGGCGTGGTCTTCCTCTTCGCCGGCGAACAAGACCGGCACGTTGTCACATCGGCGTGCTTGTACTCGTCGGAGACTGGCACATGGGGCAAGCTGAACTCGAGGCAAGATGAGTTCACCATGGAATTTCAGAACCATTCCAGCGTGCTGGTTGGGAGGTCTCTGCTCTACTTCCTGTCCGACGGTGGGACGATCCTGGAGTACAATTTGGACAGTGGTGTACTGGCTGTGTTGGATAGACCACCTGACGATTACGGCAGGGGCCGCCAAAGATTTAACCTCATGCTGGCGGAGGATGGTGGACTGGGGGTTGCCGAAGCCATTGATTTTCAGCTCATATTGTGGAAAAGGGAGGCGAGTGATGGCACTGATGCACGATGGGTGCTGAGCCGGATCGTCGACATGGACAGTTTCTTCGACCCAGTCACACTTGCTCCAGTGTTGGGCTTTGCGGAGGGAGCAAATGCTATTTTTGTGAAAATTATCTATAGCCTCTTCATGGTTGAGCTACAGTCGGAGCAGGCGAAAATTGTGTGTTCTAGTCCTGGCTTCTGTAATTTGATTCCAGTTGTCGGCTTCTACACTCCACATTCTAGGCTCCAAGTGCCCGGTGGTGAACACCACAGCCCAGCGCCGTGGCTGAAACAACTGGGAAGGGGTGGTCAGCAAGGGGTCTGGGAGGAGAAATCACTAGAATGGGCGCAGGTGCTGTTTGATGAGGGGTGCATGGCTATCAATGAGAAAGACTTGGCCTACACGGCTGACTGCTTCAGACATGTTCTCGAGATCAGGTTTGGGTTCTACTCCCAAACTCCACTTGTTCTCCTAGCTAGAATGCTGCTGTAGCGTAACATATGGATAGTTTGTGGGAAACAAGACTTGCAGTTAGTTCATTGTTCTTTTCATGTGTGTCTCAGATCCTTTTGAGTTCTGACATTTGTAGCTACCTTAGTAGGATTTAACATGCTGTATGTTAATGTGGTTACCAAGGGTGGTGTTTTGGTTTCATGTATTTGACAGTGAGCACAATGGTGTGGGTGTTGGTCTTTGAGGGGTTAGTGAGTCTAGTTAGCCAGTATGACCTGACAACACCACCTGGGATAGGTATTATCATATTTTGTTGTGACGTCTGTAATGCGATGAGAATTAAATCAAAGTCCAATTGCTTGAGGGATAGGTATTATCCTATTTGATCACTGTGCAGTTCATTTATATGGCTCCTCTTCTGTGCAAGCACTAGTAACTATAAAAGGCAGTCAACAGAACATAGTTACACATTGTGTCATAAAATGGTTTTGTCCACTTCAGAGTACATGTTTATGCTATAATGTTAATGATGATGCATCGGTAAATTAATGCGTTGTTGTTGTTGTCACGTAGGGTTCGACATTATGGAGGCCTTGCTCCTGAGTGTGCTAACACGTTTTACCATTATGGAGGTGCCTTGTTATGCAAAGCTCGGGAGGCAGCCAATCGTTCAGGTAATGTTTCAAAGCGTGCACCAAATGAAGAAGGTATGCTTTATCATTTATATCACTTTCACCACTATAGGTTGAAATATATCACTGTATTTTGCATTGTTCTTCAGGTTTATGGAATGGTCTCTTAGAGAAAACTGCAGGATTAGTTGACCCCACAACTTTAACATGGCACTGCTACTGCCCTAGACACTCATATACACTGAAAGGCATTATTATCCTTTTTAAATCTATATACTGTAGTATCTAGTTGATAGCACTACTGGTTGCAATAAGTTCTCATTGTCTGTTCATGCCTAATGAAGAGTATACCTAATAAACTTCTTATCAGTAATTTGCCCATGCCAATGCAAAGTACTAATAGTTTGGGACTTGGAATGTTTTCATTAATATTATATGATCACAGTATACTAAGTGAGTTGGATCTTGTACGCATTTGTGTGCATCTATTGCTGTTTATTTCCTCTTGGGCTGTGTGCATCCTCGATTCAGAGGCCCGGAATAATAAAACTCTTCCATTTTCTAAAGGAAAAAATGTTTTTCTTCTTTCAATGGTACGTGCTAATATAGTTGTTGTTGGTTAGGGACAAACTTGCGTGGCAAAGGTCAGACGGATGGGAACATGACAGGCGATGGAGATGATTCTGATTTGGATTTGGCCTGGAAAATGTTGAATACTGCAAGGGTGATAGTTGCCAAGAGTCCAGAGAAGACAATGGAGAAGGTTAATATATTGAATGCTCTAGCTGAAATCTCCATGACAAGAGATAATCTCAGCTATCTCAGTTACCATGTGTTAGGCTGGTGAATGGTCAATCAAGGCCTCACATTTGATTTTCACTTTTGTAGAGGACAGAGACAAATCAATCGGTTACTACTTCGAAGCTTTAGCGATCTTGGAACATTTGGTTGGGCCTGACCATTTTCGAATTGTCGATCTGTATCCTCTTTGTGGTGATAAGAGTGTCAGCCACTCTGCTGTATAGTAGTAGAACAAATCAGCATAATAGTGTGGTTTCAAATAATTTGAGTTGACCCAAATCTTGCACAGGTGCCTTCACCTGCTTTTGAATCCACATGTTAGTGTAGATTTGGAGTAGGACTGTGATCACCAGAAAAAAATGTTAGGTAGATAGTGCTGTTTTGTTATGATTAGGTCTTTGAGTTCAATTCTTCCTTTGTTGATTACCTTAATTCAGTTCTAGAAACCTCCGCATAGGTTTGGCATCCAAGGTTGGAGATGCAATCAGATATAGTAGAAAGGCTATTTCATTATGCATGTCGCATATACATAATCTGGAAATTGCCAAGGAAGCTTTGTTGGCTGATATACATAATCTGAAAATTGCCAAGGAAGCTTTGTTGGCTGATATACATAATCTGAAAATTGCCAAGGAAGCTTTGTTGGCTGATAAAGACCTTAGAGCATCTGCTGCTAAAGGACACTCAGGAAAGTCGACTCTGGAAGATGATATATCTTACCTTGCTAGAATGTCGTCTCGAGTCCAGAAGAAGGTGAACAAACTTAATTTTATTCATGCTACCAGTTTGGTTCTGCTCATGAATCTAGTGCTCTATGAACGAAGAAGACGTTTTGTAAGGAACAATAACATCTCTCTTAATTGTTTTGGTTCAGTGTGAAGAACTGAAGCAAGCAATGTCAACCCCAAGCGACGGCATGGATAATATTATGAAGAGGGTGGTCTCGCAGGCAAGTCATGAGCAGAATCTTAAGAATACTATGGCAAGAACTGCATCTTTGACTTGTTCACAGATGACACGATCAAACAACAGTTTCCATTCCCCAACTATGTCAACGGCAGCACCAAGAGGAAGCACTGGAAGTAGCGTAACCGACTTTGAGATTGTTGGCAGAGACATGAAACAAGCTAAAGATGAGTCGATCTCCTACGAACCTTCTCCAAAGAGACTTGCGAAACCATTTTGGGCGTTACTGTAGTAGTACTTCTTAAGCAAAACTCATACTCCCTCCGTCCCAAAATTCTTGTCTTAGATTTGTCTAAATACGGATGTATCAAGTCAAGTTTTAGTATTAGATACATCTATATCTAGACAAATCTTAAGACAAGAATTTTGGGACGGAGGGAGTATTAATTTATTATATTTTGCCTGCCTTGATTGATCAGCTAGTAGTACTTCTTAGATGTAGTTTTTGCAAGTCAGTGATCATTTAAGAAACATTTATTGTCTACGTTTTGCATCAGTTGCAATGAAACATTTGAATTTTCTACTGTTTGAAGAATGTTCTATTCTTGCTAATTCTGAGAGACAGGCTAGTAGTGACGATTAATATTTTTTTTCTTTCCGAATGGAAGTTAAACAATTAGTTATTAGAAAACTAGAATGTTGCAAATACTAGATGCATTTACAGATTACACATTACATTGTTGCAAGCGAGCTCAGATCGCTAACATTAACTGGCAGACTGAGCAAACAAATGCACAACAAAACCAGAATGAATTAAGCTGATGGTATGTACTAGAGGCCGGAGAAGATGGCGGCCAAGGATGTAGGTGAGGGCCACAGCATCCTACTGCACATCCGGATCATCTCAGGTGAGAAGTCTGGACAAGGCAAGCCGTAGATGGGCTCGTCGGCGACCGGCTCCTCAGGCTCTGGGTCTGGCTGCGTTCCCTCCTCCATCCGGTGGTGTTTGTCGTTCCCCTCCGCGGTGATGCTCTGCGCGAACCCGGTGGCTTCCTCCGGCACAACCACTTGATATAAGCCTCTTTTGGAGAAGCTTCAGCATTCAGCGGAGGCCTGACATTACCCCATCTGAAGCCTTTTCCTACAACCCCAAGATTATTTACACTACTTCTAGGCTTCTGTTGTCGCCATTTGAGTTGCCCCCTAACCAACGACTATGTCAGTGTTCTTGTTAAATGAATCGGTCTATTTTCATGATCATGCTATAATGATTATTTTTCCGTAATTTATGTATGACAGGGTTGCTGCTCTTGTGTAGTTAAAGCTAGCTTGTGCAAGTACACTATTTAGATAGATCCATATATGATCAAACTGGCACTGCTATTCCAGATGTATTGATAAGAAAGATTAAAATATGTGTACATAAATTTAGAAGGCAAATAGCTGACATGTGGCAGCGAACACAAATTCAGATATGGTCAACCCACAACACAGTTTTTTTTTTTTTTTTTTTTTTTGAGAAATGAAAGCATTGTCTGCTTTCATCAACATCATCTACTATCTATATTAGGAAGATTAAATAAGAAACATTAGGAAGACAGCATTGGTTAAATGGTCTTCCATGGAATGATGATGAGAATTCAAGTAATAAGTCCAAACAGCAAACAGTTCCTTCCAACACCCAAACAAGGCCATTACTAGTTTGCATATGCAGGATTGAACAGGTTTGGCTCAACCGGCCTGTTTGAAGAGATTAATTAGGCTCTATTTGGATTATTTTTTTATTTCTGACAGTTCTTTTTGGATATATTTTTTTACATTCACAAATCTACGTTGCAGAATTTAAGAGACGTAAAATTACAAATGTTGATTTGGAAAGAAGAAAACTAGTCTCCAAATAGGCGAACATTTCATACACCGAATAGGCCGGCACATACTATAGAATTAAATATATATATATTTTTAAAGGAGAAGCGGCAAGAATGAAAAACAAGTATTGAGAAATGCAGATATCTATAGAAGGCTTCATGATAAAAGCAAATACGCCTCCAATTTTAAACAGTAAAGAGGAAACAATGGAAAAAATCGGACCACAACAAGAACAAACAATGCAGCTGGATATATAGTGGTGGGAAGGTATTACTGAGAAACACTTAGAAACAATATAATGGATGAGTAGATGCAAGTACTCCCTCTGTTCGGATTTAGTTGTCGCGAGTGCTGTACAGTATGCATTTTGCAAACACGTCCTTATACTTTCAAATCATTTGAAAAAACACCCCCGTCTCCTTCCTCAGTTCTCCACCGTCGCCCGCGCGTCGCCGGCTCCGGCCACCATCCCCCGTCTTCCTCCCCCGTCCCCCGTTCTCCTCGGCACCCAGCCGCGCTTCACAGGACCCAGCCGCCTGTGCAGGAGACGACCTGCGTCGTCACGGAGGAGACGCGCAGGACCTCCACGGACGCGACCTGCGCAGCCGCCATGGTTGTGCCCTCGCCTACCTGAGCGGCGGGATTGCTCCAACATTCACCTCCCTCTGAATCGTGCCGAGAAGCACAAAATCGACGACTGGGTCCTTGATTTCGTCCACCTTGGTCGCCGTCGCCGTGGACAATTCTGGCCGCCGTCGCGGCGCTGGGTCTTCGTCGCTGCTCCGGCCCAGGGTGTTCGTCGCCGCGTTGGCCCTGCTCAACCTCTCCTCCAAGGCCAGGGTCTTGCTCTCCGCGCTGGTCCTGCTCCGACGGTCGCGCCCGCCCCCGCCTCTGTTGCTGCTGCTGAGAATACTGAATGCTGAAATTGAACACTGGATGTTGGATGCTGAATGCCTCCCTGTTTGATTGTAAAGCAAAACTGAATTAAAGCGAAATTGAATACGGAATGCTGCTGATGACACAATTATACTGAATACTCCAGTGAATACTGAATGCTGAATGTTGGAGTAGTTATGCTGCTGGTACTCACTTTCAGGAATACTGAATGCTGGTCCTTTTAGCTTTGAGTTTTCAGATGTGACATTTCCTACACAAGAATAGTTATATCAGTAGAAAATAGCAAGGGCAATAGTTGTACTAATAAAAACAAAAATCTTTGTAGAGACCATGAAACCATTCTTCAGAAAATAAAGTTAGATGCAGCAGTAGTCATCTGAAAAGAATGATGTATTGATGTTACACACTGATTGAACTGGAAGGGAGTGACCTCCTCTTCCAGGGCAGGTTTGAGAAACTGAAAGGTGGGCACTCCTATTGAATGCTGAGTACTCCTAACCAACCAATAAAGTTAGATGCAGCAGTAGTCATCTGCAAAACTAGCTTGTATCAAGTGTTTCTTTTCATGTTGCCGATAACACAATTATACTGAGTACTCCTATTGAATGCTGAATGCTGAATGCTGGAGTAGTTGATGCTGCTGGAGTACATTTAACTGGAGTAGTTGATGCTGCTGGAGTACATTTAACTGCTGAATTAGGAGCAGGAGTAGTAAATTCACTTAACTGGTTTAATTAGGAGCAGGAGTACACTTAGGAGTGTCTGTTTAATTAGTGGATGATCTGTTTAATTAGGGGTAGTGAATTTGTTTAGTGTTGTTTAAATTAGGGCATGATTTGAAGGAGTAGTTCAGTGTTGTTTAAATTAGGGCAGGATATCACTTTGTAAAATACCTTATCAGTGTTGATTTGCTTTTTACTTTTTTTTAGGAAAGAACAAGCTACTAATACTTCTTCAGGGAAGAACAAGAAATTATCATTTTTACAGGGAAAAGAACAAAGGTATCATCAGTTTTTAGTAGTTCATTTTTGTGCCAGCAATTCCATTTTTCAGCTTGCTTTCATGTGCTGAGTGGGCAACTTGAAGGAGTACTCATTTTTCATATAAACTTTCATGTTCTTTCTTATTGGATCATGAACAGTTACCTGAGCAAGTGCTCTACCGCCGTAATGATGTTTGGGATTGATCTCAACTTGAGTCCTCAACAAGATGATGCTTCAGAACCTGCAGATCAACAGGAAGAACACAACAGTCAACAACGATACAACAATGAAGAACCAGTCAATAATGAAGCAACAGGTACTACCTCCAAAACTTTTGCATTTTTATTTTCATTTTCATGATCTACTCCTATTATTTGCAATAGTTAGATGACTTATCTTTTGCTCCTTATTTGGCAGGGGAAGAAGCAAGTGGTGTAGAGGAACCAATTCATGAAGAAGCAAGTGGTGTAGAGGAAGCAATTCATGAGGAAGCAAGTGCTGTACAGAAACCAATTCATGGGGAAGGCAGAGAACTCACAAATGAGGAGAGATATGGTATTTATTTTGCACTCGCGGTGATCAAGACCCAAAATGGACAAGTTCTGAAAAAAGACAAGGAGGTCATTGCTAGCCTACTCGATACAACCATAAGAACTGTTGAGAGAATATGGGAAAGAGCTCTTAAACAGATTGAACAAGGGGAGAAAGTTGATGTCTCAAATCAAAAGCCAGGTAGAGTTGGCCGCAAGCGGAAAGATTTGGATCTGTCGAGGGTGGTGACAATCCCATTGAACAGAAGGAGAACATTGCGAGGTCTGTCAAAGGCATTGGGTGTAAGCTGCACGAACTTACACTCAAGGTTCGAGTGGGGTCATTTGAGGCGTCACAGTAATAAGGTGAGGCCCCACTTAAACCTATCCAACATTGTAAAGAGATTGAAATGGTGCTTGGCTATGTGTGAAGATTATTGGTCTGAGACACGGGAATTAGACAACATAGCCTATATGGACGAAAAGTGGTTCAACATGACTGGGGAGGTGAACAACTACTATTTGCTTCCCGAAGAACCCGACCCCTTGCGCACCTTGCATCATAAGGATAGCATCACCAAGGTTATGTTTCTCGCTGCCGTGGCTAAACCAAGATACGGCGAAGGTGGTAAGGTCACGTTTGATGGGAAGCTCGGCATTTGGGCTTTTGTCACAGAGTCTCCTGCTCAAAGAACAAGTGAAAATAGAGATAAAGGGACGCTCAAGCTCAAATCATTGAAAGTCACAAGAGATGTAATGAGGTATTACATGTGTGAGAAACTTATTCCTGCGATCCAAGAGCGCTGGCCGGACGAAGATGAAGGACGGACAATCTATATCCAACAAGATAATGCCACACCACATATTCTTCCCAATGACCCGGTTTTCCGACAAGTCATAGAACAAACTGATTTGAATATTAAGTTGCTTCAACAGCCTCCAAATAGTCCCGACATGAACATTCTTGATCTCTGCATATTCAGGTCTCTCCAGTCCCACACCGATAGCAGAGC